GTAACTGAAAAAAATGTACTCATTTTTTGTTGCAACTTATTTTTGAATTGGGTATTGTATTGAGTATAGGCGACTAACTTCAAGTTATTCAAAATGATCGTAGTTGGAATGTCGCAGATTTCTAAGTTGGTAAAATTTACAGATTCATTTTGAATTAAAATTATAATTTTTTGTAATATTTCAGAAATATTTACATTACCAGAACGAATATTTAGTAATTTTTAACGAAAAAGAAAAATTAATTATTTAGATAATAATTAATTTTATAAGTTTTGAAATTTGGCGCTATTTTTTTTAGGTTGGCAGTACCGTTTCTGCTGTCAAAACACATTTTTTTAACCTAAAAATAAAAATATATCTCAGTTTATTATGGCGATTGCGATCAATTTTTTAATATATTTGTAAATGTTTAAATATATAAAATGATAGCTAAAAAATTTTAAAAATATGTTTTTTTTTAAAAAAAACAGGCCAAAAGTTGACAAAATTAGAAAAAATTTCTGCTAATAATTTTTTAGTAATTTTTCACTGAAACTTTAGCAAATAAAAATTACTAAATCAAACATTAATATGTTACTAGAAATTAGTAAAAACTTCGAATAATTTTTAATCATTTTTCACTAAAAAAATTAAAACTTTAAGAAAAAAAAGAAGACAAAAAATTACTAAATGAAATAGTAATATTTTCAAAATATTACTAAAAATTTCTACTAATTTTTAAGTCATTTTTCACTACAACTTAAATATTAGTAAACAAAAATACTAAATCAAATAGTAATATTTTTTAAAAATTAGTAAAAATTTCTATTAATTAACTTTTGAAGTTAGACAAATTAAAAAAAAAAATTTATTACAATTCAATTTTAGAGTTTTTATTTGTAATTTTTTTAAATAATTGAATTTAAAAAAAAAACTCTTATTAAAATTATTAAAAATAATTAAACTTTGAAAGAGTCATAGTTGAAATTTTTAGAAATAATTAAATTTCAAAAGATTTGATGAAATTTTTAGACAATAATGAAATATTTTACAGAATTTAAAATAATTTTTAAAATAATTTTAGATAACAATTTTTTTTTTATTATTATAAACAATACTTGAATTTCATAAAATTTTTAATTGAAAAATAATAAAATATAATTGAATTTGTAAAGAATTTCATTAAAATTTTAAAAAATAATTATCATTAACTGGAGGCTATTATGGTACAAAAATCGCAAATTTTTTATTCTTAATCAAAATTTTAATCTTTGTAGAAAAATGTTTTAAACTATTTAGTCGTGTTGTGGACATTCTAAAGATTTTCTCTAAGTTTTTTTTTGTTTTGAAAAAATATTTTTTTATCTGAGTTATATAAACTCAAAATTTGTATCATAAAAGCTTTGCGTTTGGGGCTATTATGGTATCAAAATTTGTGTTTTATTCATAAAATGAAGAAACAATTTTTTTCATCGAATTAAACTATATATGGAAACTTCACTATACATATTTTGTGAATAATTTTTAAAAAGTTGCTGAAAAATTATTATTAGAGGAATTTAATTATAATTACTGAATTTTTTTTAGGTTAGGAATGATAATTTAAACAAATTTCAAATTAACAAATTTTATGCTAATTAAATAACTTAATAAGGTCCATTATTGTTTTATAAGATATTTTAAATTAAACAGTTTTTAAATTAACTTGTAAACCATGTAAAATTATTTACTTTTTGAGGTTATGTTGTACCCTTTGTAAAATTATAGTTGACTTATTTACAATTTTCTGATACAAAAATAAGTAATTTATAAAATCGACACACAGGAGTCTTTTTAGTTATTAGGAAATTAATTTTCGTATAATAATTATTTTGAATATATTATACCGGTTTTATACCAGAATAGCCCATGCAAATGATGGATTTTCAGTTTTAGACACTTTTCTTCTAAAATAGTTAATAAAAAGTTAGCGCATCGAGTATATTTTGTCATATCTAAATTTTGAATATGTATATCTTAATTATTTTTGACACTAACTTTCGTGAATTTTATTATTATTGGTAAAGATTTTCACAGAACTTTTCAAATTGCAACCAAAATTTTTTCGTCTTTATTAATTTTTATTTCTGATTTCTAAAACTGAATTTACTAATAACATTACAGTTACTTTGTTTCCAAATTGACACAACTACAATTACAGAGCTGTGTCAAATTTTAATATTTCGAAATTAATATTTTAGAAAATAAAAACTAACTTTTAGCATAATAGCCCCTGATCAGAATAGCCCCAGTTGACGGTAATTTAGAGAAAAATTTTAAAAATTTGTTAAATAATTGAAATAATGAAGTACTGGAAGAAGATCTGCATTGTATACTAAAAAAAGAAGATGTAGGGGAGACCGGGGCTATTTGGCGCAGGGGTTGCTTGGCGCACTTGAGTTTATTCAAAAGTGTTAAGTTACATTAATTTTTCTCTTTATTCTGTTTAAAGTACTTGATGAACTGTAAGTTTGTACAAAATTTCATTAATATTCATTAATTATTGTGGAGTATAGATTAAAATAACTGATTTTGGCACTCCAAAGTAATTTTTTAACCTCTTCATTTGTTTGTGATATCTCTTTAAAAAATTAATTTTAGAAGAGCTCAAATATTAAGTTTTCAGCTCTATACATTTGTTATTAAGAAACAAACAAAAATTTTCATTTATATTAACAGTTTTTATAAAAAATTAATAAATATTTCAAAAGTACATTCGGGGTTAGGTGGCGCGGTTATCTGAAAATTTCGTTAAATATTAATAAAATGAAGTTGATTATATATGAAATTTACACATTAATAAGCACCAATAACAATCCTATTCAAAAAATTTAACCGAATAATGGTTTTTAAATATTCACAGCGTTATTATAAGAAAAATATATTTTTTGGTAATTTTACGATTTCATTTGAATCAAATTTCATTTAATTTAAATAAAATTTTCTGATTTTTAAATTTAAAATAATTTTATTGTAAAATTACAGTACAAGACTTATTTTTGTTAAGTCTTATATTATTTAAACTTTAAATCGTATAATTTAATTTTAATTTCACTCCTGCGCCACGCAACCCCGTGCCTGGGTTGCTTGGCGCGCTTTGCACAGCTTCAAATAAAGTGGTATAAAAATAAAAGTATTAAATATAGGGTCAGCCGGGGTAAATCCGAACGGGGGGTAAATCCGAACGCTAATTATTTCAGCTTAATTAAAATTTTTAAAAATAAGTTCGATATGAGAATTTTTACCTCAGATCCTCTTCAAGAGATTCTAAGTATTATCCCATTTTTCGTTTGTTAATTAGCAACAGCAGAAACAAAGATAACAAGTATTGCAAAAAAGATTGAAAATCAAAGATGACACTCTTTCAGTATTTTGTCTCGTATTTCAAGAAAAAGAAGCTAAAAATTTATTTTATTATTTATAATTGTTTGTTATGAATACTAGAACAGAAACTATTTTTCATTTTTGCCTTCTGTCAAATTTTATTAATAATATCAGACCGTTCGTATTTACCCAGGAAAATTGGAAAACCGGGGTAAATCCGAACGGTATTTTCAATAATTTTTTTTTACATCAGAGCCACAGAAAATTGTTTTTATTTCATTACACTATTATTTTAACATTATAAAAGTACATAGAAAAAAGTTTTTCTTTCTATACGTATCCTCGTTAGTAATTAATAAGCAGAAACTTAATCTCTGTTCTCTCGAAGGAGTGTTTCAATTTTTTTGCCAAATGGTTTGTTGAAAAAAGTTTTTCAGGATCTTAATAAAATTTGGTATTCTACGGTTTTTGGGGTCGCTAATTACCAATTTGAAGTCAGTTTTTCAAAATTCAAAATGGCGGACGAGAATTAAAAAATTCATTGGATTCGCTCGAAAATTGTTACTCGGGGGGTTTCAGGGTTAGCAAATTTGATCATTTTTAAAAATAAGTTTTAGGAAAGTACGCCATTTTGAATTTAAAAAATTTGACTTTTATTTTTGTATTTACATTCAATCACTCCAAAATACTTTCTGTACCAAGTTTTGCAAAAATCCGTTATGATTTGATAAAGTTATTGAAGGTTTTAATTGTGTAATGCATTTTAATTTTTAACCTGTTTGATTTTTGTATTTATATATGATGCATTATTACATAATAGGTTTATTATCGTATTTTTTTTGAGTTTTTATATAAATTTAACAATTGCAATACTTAAAATTTATTTTCCCTAAGATTTTTCTGAAATACAGTGGCGTTCGTATTTACCCCGGTATTTTAGGAAAGTTGCAAAGTATCGAGGTAAATACGAACGCTAAGTTTCCTGCGATTGTAATTTATCAAAAATTTTTGCTACCCCATAAAATTGTTCTATGGAAGTAAAGTAACAACTTCATGCACCAGAATACCGGAAGTATTTTTTTTTTTTAAAGAAAAAACTTATGTTATTGTTGAAACTTACTAAAAGCGTTCGGATTTACCCCGGTTGACCCTATTTCAACTTTCTTTTTTTTTTAATTAAAGCTGATATGTTACAACAAGTTTTCTATACATTAAATTTAAAAAAAAAAAGAAAAATGAGTGAGTTACACAACAAAGATTAAAAAGTGCGCCAAGTAACCCCGGTCTCCCCTATTTTGTTTTAAAATTTAAAAAAAAATCGAAAAAGTCGAAATTTAAATAAGATGCTATTTAAATAAATCGAAAAAAGTTGTAGTTTCGAAAAAAAAGTCAGAAAAAATCGTATAATCTAAGAACTTCAAAAGGAGCACGTTAATTAATATAATACAACAATAATCCCCTCTCTCTTTCTTTTTTTCTCAAATATTTCAATCTCAAAATAATTCCAATCTAATATATATATATATATATATATATATATATATATATATAATTAGTACGCGAAACTTTCGTTAACTAGTTATATTTATTTTTGGATAGTACACACACAAACACACATAAACACTAATTCTTAACTTAGCCAAAGAACAAGAACGTACCATCATTCCAGGCGACGTACAGTTGCCCTGGCGAGTATCAAAAAAAAAAAAAAAAAAAAAAAAAAATTTTTTTTCGATTTCCTAAAATGAAGATAATTTTTCAGCCCTAGGCCATGGTCCACAATAGGGACCAATAACTTTTTCTTCGCATGTTTAAATCACACCTCGCACTCTCTATTTTTGCCCACCACCACTTTTTTTTTTCGATTGTTAAATCAATTCCCCCCCCATGAAAAAAACTAATAATTCTCCCCACCCTAGGCCCTTTCAAGTTCCAATTATAAAATTAGATAATTTCATTTTCCACAAAAATTCCCAAGATTCAGTTCTTCTTGATGATGATGATGATGATAATAATAACAAAAATAATAACTCCGTCTGAACAACATCAACAGGTGGTCTCCCGACGGTCCCACACGCGGCAACAGTAATTCTCCCGCACATTTCTTCGATTCATTTTATCATTTAATTAGTTCCAAATATGTAACTAAAATCACATTTACGTTTGGATGTTCTTACACTCTATTTACTATGCACCATTTTTTTTTCCCCACCTCTTTTGGTGCAAGTCATGTGATGCATTGAAAAAAAACCCCTCCCCCTCATTTTTTTTTGGAAAAAAGGAGGAAAGAAAACAGTGAAGAAAGGAGGGTAAAAAAATAAATAAATATGGTGAAGAAAAAGGAGTCGAGGAGCAGTGAAGAAAGATAAAAATTGAAGTTAAAGGAGAATTGGGAGAGAAATAGAGAAGACGAAAAAGAATTTTTTTTTTTTTGCCAGTGTTCGCCCTGTCCAAGTCCGCGGGCAATTGACTCCCGCGCGTCCTGGCTCGCGGCTGTCGTGTGGCACGCGTGAAGGGTGGAGGAGGAGGAGGGGTCCAGTATACACCAAGCGAAAGAGAGTGAGAGGGGTACCCTCAACCGGCGAGGAGCCAAGAAGAGGGAGAGGTAGACGGCGCGTGCCACTACACGCCAGCAGGTGGACTGCGCGTGCCCAGAATCTCTACTTTATTCTCTCTCTCTCTCTCTCTTTTACACCCCCCACTTCTTTTTCTCACTCTTTTCCGTCGTCGTCGTCGTTGTCGTCGTCTTCTTCTTCTTCGTTGTTGTTGTTGTTGTCGTTGCGTTGTCTCCCCGCCACAACTTCCGTTCGCCAAAATACCGTTACTTTTTCTCCAAGAATATTTTTTTTCTTTTTTTTTTTTTTTTTTTTTAATCCTCAAGGTCAATTTGATTTCTATTTTCAATATTTTTCCATTCCAATTTTAATTTTCGACACCCATTCTTTTTTTTTCTCAACAATTTTTGAAATTTTATTTGATGTTGTTGCCTTGTTTGGAATGTGACACTTTTCACTGATATTGTCATCATGTCCGACAAAAATATCACAATAAATTTTTGTGGATTTTTTTTTTTTTTGAAAAATTTCTTTTTTTCCAATAATTAGAAAATTAAGATTTTTTTGGAATTTATTGTGGAGTTAGTATGTCATTATGAAATTTTCATCGTCAAATGTCAAACGACGCACGTGGTTTGAGTGGCTCCCAAGTGACTACGGCACTCAACACAGTGATAAATACACGTACACATTATCAAAATGAATTTAAAAGTAAACCTGACGCCTCGACGAATCGCCAGCCACTGACAGAGTTCAGCAGTCACTCTGTACTGGACTCGCTTCGGGTAAAGTCGCCTTGTGTCGTGTCATATCGACTCTGTGTGTGTGTGTGTTGCCGATAGTACTACTCGGTATTGCCTGCAACGACGACGACGACGACGACCTGCGCCAGCGTCCTTCCTCACAACTTCGATCAGAAATTTAATCAAACTCTTTGAAAATTTGAATATCAAAATCAGTCTCTTTTTTTTTTGATATAATCCTTTTTTTTACATAATTTGGATTTTTTTTTCTATTTCTATTTTTTTGCAGATTATCGAGGTTAGGGAAATTATTGAGATGGGAAAAAAAAACCTTAAAATCTTAAAAAAGAATCTTAAAAAAGTTGAGAAAAAAAGAAATAATTGTGAAAAATATAGTTACTATAATTTTTATTATTTGTGTCTGTGTGTGTGTGTGTGTGTATAAGAAAAGAATGATTCAACGCGCGCGTCTGACCAAACTAAGGCAGTACTACTTTCGGAATCAGCTTTAGGGTCATTCTACAATCTAGAGTAAAAAAATTTATTTTATTCGAATAATCCCTTACTTGACTGTTGTTAAATAAATATTGAAGCAAATAATTAATATTTGACCGTAATTTAACAAAATAATTTTTGTATTTTTTAAACAAATATATATTTTAATTGACTCAAGTAATAATAAATAATATATATATATATATAATAAAATATAATATAATATGTAATTAATGTATAAATTAATAATAACAATAATAGTAATATTAATGATAATAATAATTTAATACAAATCTCGCAAATATCTATTTGATAATAATCAAGTAATTTAATATTTGAATTAAATAAAAAAAATTTTTCAGTGTAAATGTAATAGTGCTGTTGAAATAAAAATCTGTTTTGTACTACATAACTGTTATATCAGCAACTTTAACAAATAGTAAAAAAAATATCAAATTTGTTTAAAATCTATTAATTTTTTAAAAATTTTTCCCACATTGAATTTGTCATTTACAGTTTTAAAATTTGACTTCAAATTCCTAACCAACGACCCTAAAAACAATTGGATTTTGAGTTTTGAAAATCTGACTTAAGATTCGTAATCAGCTACAACAAAAACCTCACAAGTAACAATTTTTCAAGCGTATTTGATCAATTTAAAAATTTCAGATCGCCAAATTGGATCCGCCATTTTGAATTTTTAAAATATGACTTCAAATTCGTAATCAGCGACCCCAAAAACCCCCGAGTGATAAGTTTTAAGGTAAACCGGTGAAATTTTGAAAATTAGGTTGCCATATTGGATCCGCCATTTTGAATTTTTTAAAACTGACTTCAGATTCGTAATCAGCGACCCCAAAAACCCCCGAGTGATAAGTTTTAAGGTAAACCGGAGAAATTTTGAAAATTAGGTTGCCATATTGGATCCGCCATTTTGAATTTTTAAAATCTGACTTCAGATTGGTAATCAGCGACCCCAAAAACCCCCGAGTGATAAGTTATAAGGTAAACCGGTGAAATTTTGAAAATTAGGTTGCCATATTGGATCCGCCATTTTGAATTTTTAAAATCTGACTTCAGATTCGTAATCAGCGACCCCAAAAACCCCCGAGAGATAAGTTTTAAGGTAAACCGGTGAAATTTTGAAAATTAGTTTGCCATATTGGATCCGCCATTTTGAATTTTTAAAATATGACTTCAGATTCGTAATCAGCGACCCCAAAAACTATCGAGTAACAAGTTTCAAGTGAATTCGGCAAAATTTTAAAAATATGTCCGCCATGTTAGATCCGCCATTTTGAATTTTGAAAATCTGATGCCAGATTCGTAATCAGCGACCCCAAAAACCCCCGAGAGATAAGTTTTAAGGTAAACCGGTGAAATTTTGAAAATTAGTTTGCCATATTGGATCCGCCATTTTGAATTTTTAAAATATGACTTCAGATTCGTAATCAGCGACCCCAAAAACTCTCGAGTAACAAGTTTCAAGTGAATTCGGCAAAATTTTAAAAATATGTCCGCCATGTTAGATCCGCTATTTTGAATTTTCAATTACTGACATCGAATTCGTAATCAGCGACCCTAAAAACCCCCTAGTAACAAGTTTTAGAAGAATTTGATAAGAAAAAAAAAATTATCCGACATATTGAATTCATTTCTAATTTTTGAAAACTGACATATATAGGATTCGTAATTAGCGACTCCCAAAAACCTCAAAGTAATTAACAAGTTTCAAGTAAATCCGATCAATTTAAAAATTTCAGATCGCCATATTGCATCCGCCATTTTGAATTTTGTAAAACCAACAACGTTTTTGTTATCAGCGACCTTAAAAACCCCCCGAGTAGCAGTATTTAAGTAAATCTGATCAATTTAAAAATTTCAAGTCGCCATATTGAATTCGCCATTTTGAATTTTGAAAAACCAACATCGGATTCGTAATCAGCGATTCCTAAAACCCCCGAGTAGTAGTATTCAAGCAAATCTGAACAATTTAAAAATTTTAAGTTGCCATTTTGGATTCGCCATTTTGAATTTGGAAAAACTAACATCGTAATTAGCGATTCCAAAAACCCTTAAGTAATAAATTTCTAAGAATTTCGAAAGATTTTTAAAAAATGGCCGCCATATTAGATTCTCCATTTTGAATTTAAGAAAACTGACTTTAAGTTCGTATTTAGCAACCAAGATAAATCGAAGAGTAACTTCAAATTATTTTAAACGATTTTTAAAAATTGACGCCACATTGTATTCGCCATTTTGAATTTTGAAAAAATTGACATCGGATTCGTTATTAGCGATTCTAACCCCTCCATCCCCCAGTAACAAGTTTCATGTGAATTAAATCAATTTTTAAATTTTTCCCTACGCCATTTTGAATCCGACATTTTTAATTTATAAACATTTTTTTCATTACATATTCAAAGAAATTTTAAATTAAGCGCCTTTTGCGCTTAGCTACTTTTGCGTTATATGATTGGCACTAAAACAGTTGGCAATGATGTGAACAACTTCAATCAGATTCCTAACCTAAAAATTTTATTTAATTTCGTTAATTTGTGTAAATCAACTTTAAGAAATAAAATTTTTTTTTTAGGATTAATTGTTTATTAAAAAAAATTATTTTATTTACTATTTTTCTAAGTAATTGTTTGTTTGTCCACGATAATTTAACATTAATCTGGAACTCAAAATAAACCTGACCAGGTACAATTTAAAACATTTCACTAAGAATTCAAAATTAGTCAAACTAGATTATTTTTGCTGCACTTCAATTTTTTTCTATCTGTAACAGAGGTTCACTTGTCATATATTGTTTCCAAAAAAAAAAAACCCTAGACTTGGATTATGATTGGTGAGCCAAAAACTTTTTTTTTGTCATAAGGCGCTGAAATGATGTTACATTTAAAAAAAAAAGGCAGAAAATTCGGATAGAAACCCGTAAAAGTGGGGAAAGAAGATCAATAAAGTGGTATGGCATACCTCACTGGCACCAGTGTGCGGTGTTGGTGCTTCTGGTATATATGCCGTTCTCGTTGTAGAAGAGCGGGTGGCTGGCTGGTGTGTATTATTAAGCGGAGGTGTGGAAACGGAGAGGGCAGTGTAGGGTGCGGCATGCAGAGGAGTGGGAGTGAAAGGAGAGAGGTTCATCTACTCTATAGTTGAGAAAAGAAACCAAAGAGAGAGTGAGGATGTGGGGGGGGGGGAGATGAGGTAAGAGAGAGAGAGAGAGAGCAAGAGAGAGAGAGACATGATAAGGACAAGAATTGAGAGAGAGAAGATACAGAAAATATGGAACAGCCGTAAAAAAAACCGTGCGAGGAACACAAGAGGACGTACATTTCCCCCTGAAGGGAAAAGGAAGCCAGCAACAAGGTAGTGCAAGAGGCAAAAGACGCGAAAGGATGAAGAAACTGTGAAACATCGAGAAGAGCGAAGAGTGCAGATATTAACCGAAAGTGACTGTCGTTTCGTCTGAAGCTTGGTGAACACAAGCAGAGCATAAAAACTTTTATGGGGTCAGCACTAGCTTAACTTGCAGCAAAAATGGAGTGCTCATCCGTGTGGCATATATATATGTATATATACGATTTAAGCAGAATCATCTCTATATAGCATTCATTTTTGACTCTTCAATTTTGTTCTAATTTCCTTTTTCTAATTGCGTCAATTTTTCATTTGCATTCAATTTTTTCCCCCAATTCAAAGAGGAGATGACCAAAAAAAGAGGAAGATGTACAATGAAACCAGTTCTAATGGAATTTTCTGAATTTAAAAGAATGGAGAAACTAAAATTACAGGAGGAGGAGATTTTTGGAATTATGGAAGATTCGAGGATTTAGAAAACACAAAACACTTCTAATCCTGAACGGAATTAAGACAAACTGAAACTACAGAAGAAGGAGATGGCAAATTTTTGTAATTCTGTAAAATTCGAGGATTTAGACGAAGCAAAACACTAGAGAAACTAAAATTACAGATGATGGAGATTACGAATATTTGGAATCTTGAAAGAATCGAGAATTTAGGAAAAGCCAAACACTCCTAATACGGAACATAACAGTTATTAGACTATATAACTAAAACTATATACAGAAGAAGAAAATTGCAAATATTTAGAATTTTTAAAGATTGGAAATTGGATTTCCCTAATTCTAGGATTTGGGAGAAGAAAAATACTCCTAAACCTGAACGTAACAGTTAAACAAACTAAAATTACAGTAGGAGGAGATTGCAAATTGGCTTTAGAAAACGCAAAACACTTCTAATCCTGAACGGAATTAAGACAAACTAAAACTGCAGAAGGAGGAGATGGCAAATTTTTGGAATTCTGAAAAATTCGAGGATTTAGAAGAAGCAAACCACTAGAAAAACTAAAATTACGGATGATGGAGATTACGAATATTTGGAATCTTGAAAGAATCGAGAATTTAGGAAAATCCAAACACTCCTAATACGAAACGTAACAGTTATTAAACTATAACTAAAACTATACAGAAGAAGAAAATTGCAAATATTTAG